CATTCTAGGCGCGAACGAGAGTTAGAAGAAGTAATGGCCTTATGTTTAGTATGCTTTGCCCGTAAGGGCTTAAGGGGGCCCCCTCGCACTACATCCGCGAAGCATACCTCCTCGCCCATAACATCCGCGTTTCCTGCCAGCCGGCGGGGGATTGCGATTCTGTAGATGAGGGAAAGAGGCGGGAAGTTTCATATGTTTTTACTAATAAATCGTATAAAAAATCAAAAAGTATAAACTAAGCGATCAAAACTATCAAAAATGGCAGCCATTTGAGGGGGCGGGCGCCAAATGGGCCCTTCGCGACCCCCAGGCAAACATAGCGCCCCCCCCACAAGCGACCCACATGGGGGCGCCCGATTTTTTTTTCGTCGTTCGTTCTTCGCTTTTCGCTTCGCGCTTTTTCGCTGGTTTTCGTTCGCTTTCGCGTTCGCTTTTCGCTTTTTCGGCTTCTCGCTTCCGCTTTGTCGTGCGCCTCGCTGCTTTCGCTTTTTCCTCGCTCGTCTTCTCTTGCGCCGCGTCTTTTCGCCTCTTTTTTTTTTTCGTCGCCTTTCGCGCTTTCGTGCTCCGGCTTCGCCCGCCGCCGCCCTCGCCCCTCCGGCGTTCGGGAATTGACGAGTTTTTCTCTCCCTCATTTACCACAGTTAACTCACCAGAACATTTGACTTATCCATGGAATTTTGGCAAAGTTTCAAAGTTTTCATAAATAACATTTTTTTAAAAAAAAGCTATTTCATCTACTTGAATTTTATATACAATGCACAAGATAATGAGAGCATCAATCCCTGGAAGTTTTATAAAGATTCACACATCTACAGATTTTGGGGGATTTTTAAAAGTTTAGACCAAAATAATTTATCCCCCCAAAAAACGATAACAGCAATCCCCTTGAATGTCTGTCTTTATGACATACAATCACAACTTAGCACAGATACTATTACTTACTTAAGCCCTTTTTGCAGATATTTATTTTATTTAGACTAACTCTAAACGGCAACAGGTGAGGCTAGCCCTCCTTGGGTCCTTCAGCCTCATTCAAGTCCTAAGCATCTTTGCATTCTGGGAAATGTAGTTTACAGCAGGGCCTTTTGCAATTCTCTACAATTGGGAGCCTGGTCTTTTCAAACTACAGTTAAGGTGGCTGTGATTAGTCACACCCACAGATCCCTTCTTTATGCCAGCGCCGACAAAGATGGGAGGGGGCAAAGGAATGAGATTTATGTTATCTTGGCTTTTCCAAAGCTGCTTAATGGTTATAGTGAAAATTAGACTGACCTTGGGAGACATCCGGACATTATAGAAAGCTGAAAGAGCAAGTAGAGAGATTTCGAGAGCAAGTAGAGAGTTGGTTTTAAAATCTCTCTATTTGCTCTATCAGCTTTCAGATCAAAGACTAGGCATGACTTGGAGCAAACAATTCACTTTCTTGTTTTTGTCACTTTGTGGAATAGGGCTGACTGCTATCTGAAGCCAATTTTCCATGATCCCTGGGGAAAAGTCTGATTTGCAAAGAGCTGTCCCCACAAAGTGTGCCAATGTGATTTTCTCTTGAAAGGGCAGCACTGAACCCTACCGATCCTGCCCAGGGAAGCGCAATGGACATGTTAAGACAGGGGTCCTCAAACTAAGGCCCGAGGGCTGGATACGGCCTTCCAAGGTCATTTACCTGGCCCTCGCTCAGGGTCAAGCTAAGTCTGAAATGACTTGAAAAAACACAACAACCACAACAATCCCATCTCATCATCCAAAAGCAGGGCCACACTTCCCATTGACATACTCATAATTTTATATTTGTTAAAATTGTTCATTTTAATTATTGTATTGTTTTAAAGTGGGCTTTTTTGCACTACAAATTAGATATGTGCAGTGTGCATAGGAATTCATTCATGCTTTTTTCAAATTATAATCCCGCCCTCCAACAGTTTGAGGGACTGTGACCTGGCTCTTTGTTTAAAACGTTTGATGACCCCTGTGTTAAGACATTGGCCAAAGTAACTTTACATTTGGGAAGTCTGACTTGGCCACGGTGGTCCACGCTCTGGTTACATCCCGTATTGACTACTGCAATGCTCTCTATGTGAAGACTGCCCGGAAGCTGCAATTAGTCCAACGTTCGGCAGCCAGATTACTAACGGGAGCAGGAGGAAGACGTGTACAACTCCTTTGTTGTGCCAGCTCCACTGGCTGCCAATTAGCTTCTGAGCACAATTCAAAGTGCTGGTTTTAACCTACAAAACCCTATACGGTTCCGGCCCAGTTTACCTGTCTTAATGTATTATCCCCTATGAACCACCAAGACAATTAAGATCTTCTGGTGGGGCCCTGCTCTCGGTTCTGCCACTTTCGCAATCGCGTCTGGCGGGAACAAGAGACAGGGCCTTTTCTGTGGTGGCCCCTCGACTATGGAACTCTCTCCCGATTGAGATCAGACCTGCCCCCTCCCTCCTGTCCTTCAGGAGGCTGGTGAAATCCTGGCTATGGAAGGAGGCATTCCCAGAGTAATGGCTGAAACTGGCTACAGAACAAAGTTATCGACCACACATACGGACTGAGTTGGACATGATTTTATCTTGGCGATTTGGCTTACTTGTAATTTTAATCGATATGTATTTTAACTCGTTATTATATGATATTTTTAGATTGTACTATAAGCATTGAATCCTTACTGTAAGCCGGTCTGAGTCCCTCTACGGAGGTTGAGAAGATCGGGATATAAAAGTTTTAAATAAATAAGTAAATAAATTTGCAAACCATAAAAAACAAACACTATTTTTATTGTCATTATTATTAATGCTGTGCTTGAGACTAAATGCCCCATTAGAATTGATCTCTCAGCAGGTAAGATGAAACTGTGTGTCCTCTTGGCAACCACGACTTGGTTGTGCAGCTCCAGGACACAGAACTCTTGGAAAGAGGTGGAAAGAGGAAAGATCAACCCTCAGTTACTGTGCACCAGGGTGATAAAGAGAGTCAGGGAGCTCAAGGAAAGGAGGCCAGTGATCACAGCTTTAACTAAGAGGGCTGTCCAGCTGCCCAGGAGGAAGACGTGGACAAAAGATCTGTCAAGAAAGGAGAGAAGGAGATGCTGATAAGGATGTTAGAGAAGAAGCAAAACACAACAAAACTGGAGATGGAAAATCACCACATTTGAAAGGTTTGTGTCAAACCAGGAAGGCAATCTAAGGTCTTCAATATGGGTCAGCTACATTTTCAATATAGATCTCCCAAAAGTCAAAGCCAGCATGGCCATTGGCGCGGAATGGTGGAAGTTGACATCGGAAGCATCTGAAGGGCCAGTGGCTCTCCCTCCTGCTTTAATTGGAGATCTGAACCTAGGCTATTTTACACAGAGATACTGCAATATGCAGGGCCCCAATTTGGATTCCAGCCATCCAAATCTTACCCAATCCAACTTTCCAACCTCAACATCCCAAAATAAATGACAGCATTCTAGAAACACCAAACACATGCTCATTCCTAAGCAGAAGCTTAAAATTCAAAGAATATCTTGAACAGCAACAAATTTAGGGGAGCCTGCAAACTGTGGTTCTGAGTAGAATTTTTCCTCTTCTCATAAGAAGAGGTGGCGTAATGGGTTAAACCCTTGTGCCAGCAGGACTGCTGACCAACAAGTCAGTGATTCGAATCTGGGGAGAGTGGGTAAAGCTCCCCTCTGTCAGCTCCAGCTCCCCATGTGGGGACATGAGAGAAGCCTTCCACAAGGATGGTAAAACATCAAACATCCAGGCATCCCCTGGGCAATGTCCTTGCAGACAGCCAGACTTGCAGTTTCTCAAGTCACTCCTAATACATTGTAGTAGTAGTAGTAGTAGTAGTGGTGGTGGTGGTAATAATAATAATGGATTGAAGAGAAACAACTGGAAAAGCTGACACGATACGAGGATTTAAAGATCGAACTGCAAAGACTGGCACAAGCCAGTAAAGGTGGTCCCAGTGGTGATTGGCACACTGGGTGCAGTGCCTAAAGACCTTGGCCTGCACTTAAACACAATCGGCGCTGACAAAATTACCAGCTGCCAGCTGCAGAAGGCTGCCTTACTGGGATCTGCACAGATTATTCGCCAATACATCACACAGTCCTAGACACTTTGAAGTATCCGGCGTGTGATCCAATACAACAGCCAGCAAAGTGATCTTGTCTGCTGTGGACTCATCTTGTTGTGTTTCAAATGATGATGATGATGATGATGATGATAATGATAATAATAATAATAATAATAATAACAATAATAATAATAATCTCTATTTATAGGCTGCCCTCTATTCCCAAGGGGACTCAGGGAGATTTACGTAGAAAAAGGCAAATATTCAATGCAATAATCACATACATCAAAGTAATACACAATAACATTAGTAAACTTAAAACTAAAAAGAATTAAGAGTAAAATAATTAAAAGTAAAATAAATAACACATATTTACACTAATATAACATAATTGCACTAAAAACATATGCCTTGGACAATTAAACAGCTAAAATGCATAAAAAGTGTCTAACATCAGTGATGATTTAAAATATACCATAGCAGCCATAACAAAACCTCAACGTTACCCCTAATACACCGTGAAAACAACATTATTTGTCTAAATAATCCACTTGTTTTCCATATTTGAAGTGGGCAATGCCCATCATCTGACAAAAGCTACAGCTGCCCCCTGCCCCCATCTCCTTGTGCATTTCCAGTCACTCACTCCATGAAGAAAGCCTTGTAGACACTGATTCCCAAGAGGAAAGTGAGAGGCAGTCGGTAGTGTTTGGGCAGATCATAGCGTGTGAACATCCACACCAAGGCAGCAATGGCAATATAGTGGACCTGGAGGCAGACAAGTAGCAGGAAGGAAGAGGGAAAAGGAGTAAAGAGAAATGAATGATCTGTATGGGTTTTTTTTATGGCAATTCTATTGGTCAGTGTATTTTGGACTCAAGTCACAAGAGACCCCCTCATGAAAAAAACATGTAAAATTGAACATCCCTGTTCAAGATTACAAAGGCTCAACCAACTTCAATTTACTGGCCACCTTCTCTGGTTTTCTTCCCCATCTACTATCATTCTGTAGCAAACAACCGTAGTTAACCTTTAGTGGTCTTTCTGGGGATTTTCTCCTTATAAAAGCACAGCTTCCCACTTATTCCTCCTTCCCTCCTGTATGCTGTTTTGGCTCTACCCAGAACTATGCTCCAGAAATCAAATTATTCTTAGCATATAGGATTACAATTCCATTTTCTCACAAAACTCACAAAACTCTCCCAAAAACCACTTTGAAAAAATATAGTGAACTGAAATAATAATAATAATAATAATAATAATAATAATAATAATAATAATAATAATAGACGAAAAGCAACTGGAAAAGCTTACACAATATGAGGATTTAAAGAGAGAACAGCAAAGACTGGCACAAGCCAGTCAAGGTGGTCCCAGTGGTGATAGGCACACTGAGTGCAGTGTCTAAAGACCTTGGCCTCACTTAAAAACAATAAGCGCTAACAAAATTACCATCTTTCAGCTGCAAAACACCACCCTACTTGGATCTGCACACATTATTCGCCGATACATCACACAGTCCTAGACACTTGGGAAGTGTCTGATGTGTGATCAAATACAAAAGCCAGCGTAGTGATCTTGTTTTTATGTACTCGAAGGAGACCCCAAAGAAATAAAACTCAAGCCTTTATTTGTTTTCTCCCCATCAGCTATGATCATACTTTAGGGACGTTCACAATAAACAGTAAGAATTGGAACTTACCAGACTGATATTGGAGTCAATGCTCATCTGGATGTATTTCCAGTCAAATTCAATGCCACGAGCTCCTACCCACAGCGGGATACATCTGCCAGAGACATGAAGGTTATCAGGAACAGATCTTGCCAGGCAAACACATTCCACATCCAAGAACCCCCCTCAGCAATCAGTATACTACAGGTAAACATCTTCCCCAATTCAAAAAGAAACACAGACCATTAATCATAAAGGCTCACTAAATTTTAGCCACTTCTTTCTAATGTACAAGGTACAGCTTGTGAGGTTGCAATATAGTGAAGTATCCCTGATGATGTGACCTTTCCCTCATCAATAAATGACTATAAGCCAAAATGTGTGGGGCATTCTGTGAAAACCTTGGTCTTCTAACACAGGACTGAATTCCAGCATTCAATCATCAAATCATAGAGTTGGAAGAAACCACAAGGGTCATCCAGTCCTGCGCCTTGTCATGCTGAAACATAGAATCAAAGCTCCCACAACAGATGGCCATCCAGCCTCTGCCTAAAAACCTCCAGAGAAGAAGCCTCCACCATGCTCTGAGGCAATGTATTCCACTGCGAAACAGCTCTTACTGTCAGGAAGATCATTTGGATGCTGCTCTTGGCCGCTGGGATATGAGCTATCCCTCCCAATGTGGTGTCATCTGCAAATTTCATTATTTTTTTTGTATCAGGAGTGATTTGAGAAACTGCAAGTTGCTTCTGGTGTGAGAGAATTGGCCACCTGCAAGGATGTTGTCCAGGGTATGCCCAGATGTTTTACCGGCTGTTAGAAATTGTGGGAGTTGAAGTTCAAAATACCGAAGGCCGAAGTTTGCCCATGCCTGATATAGGCCCATATCCACAGGGGATATATTCCAAACCCCTCTGTGGATACCTGAAAATGTGAATAATAGCCAACTATATTTTGACCACACTTGGGCTGGAAGCATTCATGGAATTGCACTGAAGGCCTAGAAGCCCACAAACACTTCCTGGTTGGGGGTGGGGGAGGAATACTTTTTGGAAGGTAGATAGGGGAAAACATGGATTGTGAATCTATGGACAAGAAGGTCATACTGTAGATGGCTAAGTATTGGTTAGTTCCACCCATACCACATTCTCAGGTGGCACTATCTGAAAATCTCCATTGTTTCTGGCAACTCACCGAGACATAATGAGCTCTGCTGTGGCCCATCCCATGGCCGCCACCATGATCTTGTACTCCCCTTTGCCTGCATTCCGGGACATCACCAGGTGCAACCCCACCAGGTCAGCCAAATCCACTGTGGCCTTCATGAATTCCTGGCATAAGACAAAAAAGGTCAGGGCAGCAGCCCAAAAACTTTCCTTTATTTGCCATTCTCTATTGGCACCACCAACACCACCTACAAAACGTGTTGTTGTTATTGTCATTTGCTGCCAAGTCAGCTGTTAAAGAGAGCCCTCCAAAGGATCCTGATTACTATAACAGTTCAGGTCTTGTAACCTCTGGGCCATGGCTTCCTTCACTGAATCAATCCATGGGCAATGAAGTCCTTCCTCTTTTCCTACTGCCTTCTACTTTACTGTGTATTACTGTACACTGTATTTTCCTGTATTACTGTATTTTCCAATGAGTTATCTCCATTCTTTCACTTTAATCATTTCTAGTGAGAATTCAGGCTTGATCTGTTCTCAAAGCCACTTATTTGGCTTTTTAGTATCCATAAAAATTGCACAACATCACATTTTATATTCTTTGATTTTCTTCCTTGCAGCTTTTGTCACTGTCTGGTTTTCACATGCATACATAGAAATCAGAAATACTACAGTACGCATGATTCTCACTTTAGTTTTTAACAACTTCAAGAGATATTATATCCCCTAGTGTGCCAACATCAATGCTTCCGCATCTTCTGCACTGTCAGTGAAAATGTAAAAGCTCTAGCAAAGTATCAGTATTACTTATTTAGACTAGTACATAATGATACATGTAGGAGAAATACATTAGGAGAATATTTTTTCTGGGGATGATCCAAGGGATATGTCTCCACTTTCAAAAAAACAGCTTTCTCCCCAAGGTTCAACCCTTGAGTTGGTAAAGCAAATGGAGCAGTTATGAAATCACAGTGCTATCTGATTATGCTATTTAACCTGAAAAGGAATGGAGCGGCGGTGGCACAATGGGTTAAACCTTTGTGACGGCTGATCTCCTGACTTGAAGGTCAGCGGTTCAAATCTGCAAGTCAGGGTGAGCTCTTGTCTGTCAGCTCCAGCTACCCATGCAAGAACATGAGAGAACAACAACAATCTTTATTTATATTCTGCCCTATCTTTCCTGGGGGACTCAGAGTGGAAATGGATTGAAGGCATGCAACAATAAGACAAACTTACTGTTAGAATTTTCCATTACAATTTTCTAGAGTGTCCCTAAATTTTTGTTATTGGTCCCAACGGGACCGTCCTTTGAGTTCGTTAGACAGCAAAAAGGGAGTATGCCTATATCAAAATAATTCTCAGCACCCAATCTTTTGCACCCTTGTTCACACAGAAGGTGTAAACAAATGATTGCAGACAATTGAAATATTGGCAGAGTTGAACTTACCCCGACGAAGTCATAGGCACCTGCACCCCCCTCCCAGGTTGGAAAGAAGGTTGCTAAAAATAGCATCTGTAAAAGAGAAAGCAAGAGAGAAAGGCAATTACAACACTGCTTTAGAAAAGGTAACTTATCACATAGGCAAGATTGTGGTCACAAAGTGTTCTGGACTAGCCAAGTTTATATATCTGAAAGTTTCTGAAATTTGAGGGGAAATGAGTCTTGTATTTAAGCATTATGCAGATCACCACAGATGATCATGAACTCAATCCAGTTAAGTAGAGAAAAGGATGGATTGGAGGAGGGGCTGACCACTCTATTCACCCTGTACCATCGTATTTGATCTCCAGTCAAGCCTCTAAGGAAGAAGAACCTCTATGTTCCATGACAAGCATGGCTATCTGTTCAATTTCAGCAGTAACTCTCTCCTGATGTTTCACCCACATCAGACCCCTCAACCTCTGGGGATGCCTGGGCAAAACATCAGGAGATAATGCTTCTGGAACATGGCCATACAGCCCAGAAAACTCGTAACAATCCAGGGATTCCAGCCATGAAATCCTTCGACAACACAGTACTGTCAATGTTCCAAAGACAGAAAAAAAGCCAATACCTTACAAAGCTGGACAAATAGATAAGTGGCTCCGGCTTGTACACATCTCCAGAAAGCATTATATTCTGACCTGAAAGAGATGAAAACACAGAGAGGTATATGTCAGAGAAGAAATACTCTTATAAAGTGCTATATAAAAATTTCCTTTTCTCAGAGGCCAGGAATCACTGCGTCTCTAGAATTTGTTGGACTCCAACACCCATCAATCACAGCAAGCATGATCACAGGTGAAATGTTTATTAGGCTTGGGCGGTTTCGTTCGTTAATTTCGTAATTCGTTATTAATTCATATTTAAATTAGCTTACGATCCAATATTGAGCCATGCAGGACTACTGTGAGGAGTAATTAAAAATCGAAACAATTTTTCCAATTTATTTCGTATTGTTTCGTAATTGTTTCGTAATTGGTTCAAAATTGTTTCGAAATTGTTTTGTAATTGTTTCGTAATTATTTATGTATGTCTGGTGCAAGTTTTATAGTTGTTGTTTGTTTTATCAGTGATAAAAAATAAATTATCACACCAACAGTCAACAACAGAGGGAGAGGGAAGCTTCAGAAGTTCCCCCTGTCCCATTTGGAGGGTTTTTTAGCATATTGCGCAATCGCGTCCGCCATTAACGAATCGATTCGTAATTTTACAAAATTTCGTATATTTTGAACTTTTTTAAAGGAAAATTTCAGAATTCTTTAAAAAAACGAAACGCAAGAGCCCCCTAAAAACAAAGCGAGTTTAGAACCAAATTTTTCCGTGGTTACCCAAGCCTAATGTTTATTTATTTATTTATTTACAACATTTATATGTCGCCCTTCTAACCCCAAAGGGGACTCAGAGTGGCTTACAAGTAATATCTAAACACAATATTTTATATTATTACATTATTTAATATATTAAATATGACAGAGATGTTCACCCAACATCATCTGAAGTACCATGTGTTGCCAACTTTGGCTTTATTTACATTCCTATCTTCACTTTTCTTGCATTTTGCTATTTACTGATCATGACGGTATCACCAGGAGGATCATCATGTTGTTCTTCAGCTCAGGCCACAAAGTGTCTCTGATGAAATCAACAAGCAAGTCAAGCCTACATCAATTGCAACATCCTTCTATCACAACACCACAAGAAAACTCACAGGCCACTGCATTTGTAGGTGATGAAATAAGGGAAATATGCCAGAGCAAAACAATTCCCAAAGTGGAAGAGGGTCATCGTGGTGCCAGCTTGAGGAATCGAGGCTCAGGACACAGAGAGGGAAGGTAATGGCTGCTTTCTTGCAAAGCCAGGATGTTCCTGGGGAAAAAGAAGAGCAGAAAACAGTAAAACTAAAGTATATCAAGTCAACCATAAATACTAGCTTTCCTGATAACTCGGACCAGCAGGACAAGGAATCTTATTTATTTATTTACTTTACTTTATTTGTAAAGTCAGCCTTCAGGCGACTCGGGGCGGTTTACAAGGCAAAATTCAATGCCACAAAAAACACAGTACAATTTAAAAACATTAACAGCAATAAAATTAAAACAACAGCAGTAAAAACCTAAGTCAATACATCCTCAATAAAAGACATTGTCCAATTCCAACGTGTAGTTGTTCCATTTTCCTATGTCCATTACTCAATATTTGCAAATGCTTGCTCGAACAGCCATGTCTTAAGTTTTTTCCAAAACGTTAGGAGCAAAGAAGCCGATCTAATCTCCTTAGGGAGGGCATTCCATAGCTGAGGGGCCACCGCTGAGAAGGCCCCGTCTCTCATCTCCACCAAACGTACTTGTGATGAAGGCGGGACTGAGAGCAGAGCCTCCCCAGACGATCTTAACATCCTCGATATTTCATAAGGGCTACATTGGGCTAGAACAGTTTAGGGCTTTATAGGCCAAAGCCAGCACTTGACTCCCAATCCAATACATGATTCCCTACCAATCTTGGCTACAAGCCTGTCTGTCTGTCCGTCTATCTGTCTATCTATCTGTCTATCTATCTATCCATCTATCTAAACGAGTTGTTACCAACATGGCAATGAGAGCGACTGGTCTCACGAAACCCTCTTATAATACCAAGGCAACATTATTATTATTATTATTATTATTATTATTATTATTATTATTTGGTCGTGTCAGGAGTGACTTGAGAAACTGCAAGTCACTTCTGGTGTGAGAAAATTAGCCGTCTACAAGGATGTTGCCCAGGGAATGCCC